AAAAAATAGTTTATATGATGATGCTCCAAAACCGTGATCGTTCGGATGGAAAAAAATATTTTCCCCATTTTAATATCAATTGTACTAATATAACCCTTTAATTCTTTGTAATTTTACATAGTGAGACACTAAGTGACTAATATATCCCTGACTTTTGATTTGTTTCCTTCAATTAGCTACTGAATTGTAAATGAATGTAAAAGTTGATAACTTTTGTATTTGTTATAGGTTTTACATATATAATATATCAAATTAATCATCTTTTAATGATCTTCGATTTGACATCCATATTGTATATATGAAATAAATAAATTATATTTATCTTTATAACAATAAAAAAATAATAATATTTATTAAAAATTCATTAGAAAAATAAAATTATTTCTTAATTGATATGTATATATATATATATATATTTCTGGAACGATAGAGATAATATAGGAGAGCACAAAAGTGCAAAAGGAACAAATTACAAGACCCCAACAGGGTAATCTAAGACCCCAACAGGTTAATGAGACAGGGGCCAACGGCCCAAACCAAAAACACGCCTAAAAACAAACTGGAATAAAAAACTGAGAGGACACGCACATGGCGGCCTAGAGAATTTCACGAACGAAAATAAAGGAAAATGAAAAACAGAGCCACTGCACAATGCCCAGCCTGTATTCATCTCCCAAACAAAAGACCCATAACCTAAAACCCAAAACCCACACTACACAGAAACGAACAATAAACAAAAACACAAGAAACAAAAACACAAATAAACTAACATAAAACTAACAGCCCTTCCCCAACGAATGAGCTAGCCCGAACCAGCAGTGAACGATCGATACAAGACCAATCCAGGCCAAGAACCTACTACCGAAACTGCAATCAAGCCTATACAACAGCAGAACCCTTATCCCGAATCAATCCCCAAATCGACCCCTCAAACACCGAGAGAGTCAAAATCCACCCACCACAATTCCATCCGAACTCATCTAACACCACTAGACGAGGTCGATGGAACCTCCCCCGCCACCTAACACCAATAGGCAAACGGAGGATTGAACAAGAGGAAACGGTCATCCCCTCGACTGCCACGACGATGAACGCCACAGTAATCAGAGACCCGCCCCTCCCGATGACTCACACGCCACCCGTCACCACCACAGACAGCCAAAGACAAGCAGCAGAGCCCCACCAGAACAGTGAAGTGCTGCTGGAGACAGGCAATTTCGATAATCGCGGACAAAGGGCAGAAAACAGAGGTTACCGTCACAAATCTCCGCACCTCCGGTGACTGAAAAGACATTTCAATCGTCGGCCATACTTCGATCTCGAGGAGCGCTACCGCCTTCCGCAACTCCATCTGTAACCTCGAACTTGACGTTCCGTCAACGGCCATCTAAAGCAGTAAAAGTGACGCGCATCGCCAGGGAGGGGAAGGAATGGTGGATGACGACCACTAGCCGAGTTTTCCCGTCGCCGAAGAAGGCGGAATCACCAGGAAGAGGAGAACCTGCAAGTGGAATTGGGATTTCGTCGCCGAGAGAGAAATTGGGGTTTTTTGGGGCATATATTTATGTTTAATGTAGTTATATGTTGTAAGTTAAATAAATTATTATAATATAACACATGTAGGTCACACAAATAAAAAGTGTCATATTAAATATATAATATATATATTTGAAAAATGTATTTAAAGTTTTAACTACTTTTTCTCATTAATTTTAGATTTTAAGAAAAATTTAGCAAGCGCCCGTGTAATACACGGACGTTGTTCTAGTAATTAAATATTATATGGTGAATAAGAATAAGTAAAATTGTTACTTTCTCTTATATCAAGAGATAATTTATATGCAAAATTAAATTTTTATTAGTATAAATGTTTTAGAGAGATAATATATTAATTATTTTACAAGTTAGTCATAACATGCTCATATTTAATGTTCAGGCTAAAAAAACAACGTTGGTTAAAAGATGTGAAAAAAAATGCTTATAACCTTATCGTGTTTTAGACTCAACATTTAATTTTTAGACTTAAACGGAAAAGACTGTGAAAATAACTCATTTAATATCTATGTCTCGTGCATCGCACAAGATACGTACTAGTGTTCATTAACCAAGTGGGTAGAATTAGCCCTCCATCAAATTAAATCTAGTAAAACTCATGGTTTCAAATTAAAACCAATTACCTTATCTACTACTATATTTTTATACTCTAATCATATTTAATCATCCTCTTATTAGTATTATATCACATTTGTGGACTTAAATGTGAATGTAATTTCATTTTTTGTCCATTTACAATGTAAAATAAATTTCATACTCCCCCTTTATTTTTTTCAAAACGATTCATATATATGTGGAATAATAAGTTTTATAGTGAATTCTTTTTCAGTTGCACTTTTCAACTTAATGAAAGTAACAACAACCTTTACACGGGCCTAATTAATTAGCCTCATCAAGCAATTCGAGGTGGCATGGTTCATTAGGATATAGAGGTTGAGATATACACACCACCTAAAACATCTCATCCTACTAAACTTAGATTCCGTCCGACTAAACTAATTTTGAAGCTACCTCATCAGTCATCATGGTCAACGGTTGGAAATTCTTGACATCCCTCCTTATATATTAATTCAAAACGTGTTGAGCCTAGGTGACAGATTTTTACGCTTCGGGTACTGACATGGCGAAAATCTATGTTTCGTGATGTTGTTTTTATATTATTTTTGTTCTTGAGTTAGGTTTGGTATTAGTCTATTAGACATAAATAATTTTACACATATATTCATTAACTCAACACACATTTCATACCATGTTCTAAGAGCATCTCCAGTGCCTTACGGTGTGTTTGTAAGAAATATAATTTAAGTGAATTAACTCAAAGTGCGTTTTTTTAGTTAACCAAGGTTAATTTAAGAAAAGTGAAATAGTTTGTTGGATTTTGAGGTTATATTTTAAAAGATGTTGTCATATAGTGTCATTATTATTATTTATAATATTCGCAGAGGTAGTCCTCCTCCGATTCTCCTCCTCCTCCTCCTCTTCCTCCTCCTCATCATCATCATTATCATCGTCTTCATCTTCATCTTCTTCTTCTTCTTTAATGTACGCTAATATTATTTATTAGTGTAATGCATTAAAATTATACAAATAAATTTAAATTAAAAATATAGTCCATATAGTTTTTACCATATATAAATTATTGGATGAACTAATGGGGTATTAGTATTATTATTATTATTATTATTATTATTATTATTATTATTATTATTATTATTATTATTATTATTATTATTTTTCTAGGGAAAATGATGCACTTCTTGTCACGTTATTAATTCAAGTTAACTTGTGATAGAATATGGAGATAATATGCACACGGACATTAATCCTTTCAAGTATTACATATTATTGTCATTAGCGAGCATTGATTAACTTTGAGAAAAAGCAAAGAAAAATTTAAACTTAAAAACGACTTGTCAATTTGTTTTGTCATAATACATTTTTTTTTTTTTATTTTATTTGTGAGAAAATTTGATTTGAAAGAACATCTTGCTTGATTATGATCATATATCTAATACAATGCAAGATGGGCTTTCATATAAATTTTGTTTTTTCGATAAATGATGGGTTATTTATGGCAAACCTCTATAATTGTTTATTGTCTTTTTCTTGGTTTAGACTGGATAACCATAGATGGTTTCATCCTACCTTTGATTTCTAAGACAGCCCCTACAAAATAAAAGAGAAATAAACAAGCTTAAAAAACACACCTAGTGCTAATAATTATTCACATATGGTTTAGTATTAGAGTATAAAATAAGTGTTTTACCACTTGTATTAGTAAAACACGTTTTCTCTTATGTCTAGCACTTTTAGTTATTTTCCCTTAGTATAAATATTGTATCTAGGGTTTTCTGTAATCAGTTTTTCATTATTCATTTTTCCGCCTCCTTCTCTCATCTCTCTCTTGTTCTCTCGAGAATACACATACAATCTGTAATGTTCAATCTTTCATCAATGATCAATATATTTTAGCTTGCGTTCTTTAATTCCGATCTGTATTATGGTATCAGTTTACAGGATCTACTCTCGATCCTCTTGATTTTGGTTCGATTTCCGCTGCTGTTCATTTGATTTTTGTTCGCGATTTCCGCGATTTTTCGCTATTTTCGTTTGATTTCTCTGTTGATCTGGTTTCAATCGATTTTAATCTGTTCCGATCTGTTCACTGTTGTTCAGATTTGTTCCGATTACCTTTGATTTGTTCCAATCGTCACTTTTACTTTCTCGATCTGTACGATATGACTCATCCGTCAGATGATCCTGCTTCGCCATACTTCCTGCATGCGAGTGACAATCCGAGAGCAGTCATTGTTGCCGATTTGTTCACCGGTGATAACTATGTTGCTTGGTCTAGGGCTGTTCTCATGGCTCTCAGTGTTAAAAACAAGGTTGCTTTCATTGATGGCTCGCTGGTAACCCCTAACCCTACTACTCATCCTATTGACCATATTGCTTGGATCCGTGCTAATAACTTGGTACTTTCTTGGATTTTGAACTCCATTTCCAAAGATATCCGACAATCCTTGGTTTTCTTTTCTAATGCACAACATGTTTGGGATGAACTTAAGGCTCGTTATGTTCTTAGTAGTGGTCCTCGTGTTTTCCAGCTTGAAAAATCACTTAGCACTATGGACCAGGGTTCTCAGTCCATTACCCAATATTATACTGCTTTCAAATCTCT